CTGGCATGACTAAGGCCCAGAAGAGGCGGGCGCTGAGGGAGCGTCGTCGCCAGCTGAAGAGGGCCTGCAGCACCCCCAGCCTCTCCCTCAGCTTCACCTCCTCTCCCCCCGGCTCCCCGTCGGCCCGCAGTGACCTTTCCCGGGGCCCCGGGTCCAGCCGAGGCCCCGCCGCCGCCCCCCAGGATGACCCCCTGCCGGGCTCCCAGGACTCCCAGGGGTCGCTGCTCTCCAGCCAGACCCTGAGCAGGCGAGGCATCCCCCGGGAGCGCCGCCACACCCTGCGTGAGTACCTGGCCGTCCTGGAGCCCCCGCCTACGGAGCCCCCCGAGGACGACGACGACCTGATCCTGGTGCGGCCGGCCAGCCAGCGCTCGCTCCCCCCTTCCTGCTCCTCCTCCTCGCGGGCCCCTCGGAAGCGGAGCGTCATGGGCTTCTGAGGGACACCCCCCCATCACCAAAGGGCAAGTGTTGCTGCAACCCCCCCCCCAGGCCTCCCGTCTCTTGTGTGTGTGTGTGTGTGTGTGTGTGTGTGTGTGGGGAAGTGGGTCGGGTGTAGACTGGGGATCCTGGGTCCTTCCAAGCTCTGCGTGGGTGTCCCCCCCCCCCATAGGATTGGGACCAATGCTCCCTCTAAGCTGTGGGGTCTTGTGAGCAAAAATTCTGCTTTGTGTGCTGCTGGCATGAGCGCTGTGAGGGAGCGATTTGACTGTGGCATACATCATTAGTTAGCTCTGGTGCCCTCCTTCCTGAGCAAAGACAAACTCCTTCCCCTCCCCAAGACAGACAGACACCCTGTGAGGTTGGGTGGGCCTGAGAGAGCTCTTGACAGAAACTGCTGTTTCAAGGACAGCTGTGCCAGAGCTTGTGACTGACCCAAGGTCACACCAGCAGGTGCAAGTGGAGGAGTGGGGAATCAAACCCGGTTCTCCCAGATCAGAGTCCCCTCACTTAACCACGACACCAAACTGGCTCTAAAAAGCTGTGAGCTGGCTCACACTGACTCAGCTCAGAGGGAACACTGATTGGGACGCCCTGGGTTGGGGAATAGCTGGAGATTTGGGGGGTGGAGTCTGGGGGCAATGAGGTTGGGGGAAGGCTGAGCAGGTTCCAATGCCTCGGGGTCCTCCCCCCCCCCCCCACTCGGCCCGGGTTTCT